TTCTGTTATTATCAAGACCCTAACAACCCCATAGAACATTCTTGAATCAAACAAGCAAGATATTCCTGTCATTTTTCTCAACTTTCTCCTCCTAGCAATTACCCATCACCTTTGGAACTCTACAGAAGCAACCAAGAGCTTCCCTTATATAGCACCTTCTATTTCTGTCCTACAAAACTCAAGGGAAAATGCAACTGCCTTGTTAAAACTGGGGAGAACACACTATTAGAAGGACAAATAGGATCAACAACATAAATTTGAGATCACCATCAATTTTTCTGCTACACATAGAGAGAGAAAAAGAGAAAGAAAACATAGAAAGTATTATTTAATTAAAATCTAATTTAAATATGCTATCAAGATAAGTCACTCCTCTGTCAGCAAGAAGTCACTGTAATCCTAGAAAAAAATCTTTTCAGATATTTGTGCATTGTTCATCAACTTGGAACTTTAGACCTACTTTTGTAATTTGAGAAAAAAAGGCATTGTTTCCATTTGGATAAAACTATGAACAAATACAAGTCAGGAATACAGAGAAGGGAAAACAGAAAACTTATGCAAATGGAATGTTGCAATTCCATGCAAAGAAGTCATTGAAGCCAATTAGAACTCCACTTTGAAGGTGTCAAAATATCAATTCAGTGTATACATTCCAACATGAAATGTAATAAAGTATAATTAAAGGTGGTAAGTGCTCGCTTTTGACCCTTGTGGTTTATCCTTCATGTGGGGGACAATTACGGCAGAGATAGAGAATTACCCTGAAAGTTTTGTAAGTCATTTTGCCTGTCTCTCTCTAAAGGTAAGATTATTCCAACCCTACACATGAGTCAACACTGAATTAAACATAATAATCAAAGCAACAGTAGTTCTTTGAATGAACAAAGAACCTCCCAAGGGCCAGGCATTGAACTATGTGTTCCCATATGGCTCCTCTTGTAATAACCTGAGAAACTGTCCTGTCAATATTTCATTATCAATTTTGCAAGCAAGGAAGTCAAGCATCAAAAGGGCTAAGTCATGCCATCAAAGTCACACTGCTAGTGGCATACTGGGATGAACATATGCATGGCTCTAATTTAATCTTCACTTACTCAGATCCCAGAGATCGCATCACTATATTCAAACTGAAGGGGTACATCATCTTTCTGTGGCATATGGTTCCCTTCAGGACTGTCTCAATATAAAAGTTCCATAGGATGTAATATTCTGCTACAGCTGAGGGAATGAAACTTGCCTGGAAATTGTTGCTCCCCAAATGAGGAGTGAGCTTCAGCTCTCCCAATTCGGAACCCTGCAACTTTGGTCATGCTACACACTCATCTCAAATTCATATTCTACCAAATTTACAGAGCTCTAGAAACTCAAATATTTTTAAGGAATAGTGATAGACAGACCATGTCTCATGGGATTTATTTCTGTTATAATTTCACTTAATTATCTATAAGAAATGGTATGATATATATACTATGCTCACTAGGTATGCACAGACTCATGAAACATCTGTCTGGATAACTCACATGTTAACAACCAAGTAGTTAGACTGTCTATGTAGAAATGAAGTTGCTTAGCCATCTATGACCCAATATGTGAGGAAAACAAGAATTTACATTGGTGAAAGCCTAATGTGCTACTGTCGAAAAGGGATCATGAGTCAAAATGAGAATAATAATGAGAAATGTTGTAAGGAACAACTGTGGTTGCGTATTCAAAGCTCTTATCATAATGAGTTACATATCACTGTCTGTTAATATCATTACCTCCATCTCTATCATCATCACCAACACAAGGACCATCATAACTATCCACTGAAGTTATACACAGTCCTTGGATTGTGCTCTAAGGACACTGCTTTAAGAACTCTAATCATCAGAACTTTCAAAATCTGTTCAATAGAGAAAAGGATGACCTCAACTTTAACATATATAGCTACAAATATACACCAAGTCAAGAAAAAAAAATTACTGTGCTTTGTCAACCTTTGATAAAAGCTAAATGCAAATTATTCTGTCTGGGAAGCCAGTCTCCATTCTTATGAAGGTACTGCCTGTGAAAATATTATTACAGAATACTTTTCAAGTGAGAAGCAGGGTTCATGAAGTCTCTTATTCACATACAACGCACTACCTTCCCCCTATTAAAGAGCTTTGGGCCATCTGGCACATCTAGCTACCAGCTGGTAAAAGCTAAGAAATATTGTGCAATTATAGGCAGTAACTAGGTCTTTCCATGTGAACGAGTTATAGGTTTTCTGTACTTATAAACATTTTAAATGCAGCTTCAACTTGGTGGCAGGCAAATGATGTCAATGATGATAAATGATAAATCTCATATTCATGTCACCACCCTTTTGTGGGGTGACTTGTTTCCATTACTAAAACCACTGATAGAGGGAACAATTGCTTATTTTTGCCTCCATTTAAAACAAATCCAGAATTATAATCTCAAAAGCAACTGTAACCAAATATGCGTTGTGTTCATAGCTTACAATGATATAAGCAGATGCATGGATACCACAAAAAGTTTCCTTTAACTCATAGTGTGTGGTGATGCAACATAAAGGATGCTATCTCTCCACAGTACAGTTAGTTCTGTCCAGTTAGTATGGTACATACTTCTAAATGCCCATAGATATTTGGTAAGACATCACATGTGCCATAGCTGAACTGTAGCATAATTCACCTTTGTCAGGAAAACCATTAAAAGGAAGAGTAGGGAATTGGGAGTGCAAAACAATGTGAAAGACTCCATTACCGAATATCATATTGACAGAAAAGATGAGCCCAGGACCATGGGAAAAACTTCCAAACCTAGGCCCAGTCTTAAATTTTATAGGTTGTCAGAGACACTTGATCAAATTTCTTGTGAAATCTTTCCTATTCTCTAGACCAGTACACCGAGCCATTGTTCCCTGCATTGACTCTTCAAATATGAATTCTGGTACCACCTTCTCATTTTCTTGCTATCCTTGTGAACTTTCTCATGATGACTTGGCACCTTTCCATCTGTTATACAGCCTCCATGGGTAGAACCATTCCTCTCAAACACAGAGTCAGTGATCTGATGCTTTAAAGTGGGCTAATCTGGAGTTCAACTCCCTTGGTTCCATTTCCTAACTACCAACTTTACTGTGGACATACTACTTGATCTAATTGCTCTCTGTTTCCTTATCTATAGATTTAGTGCCATCATCATCATCATCATACACTTGTTCTAGAAAGGTGTTAGGAGATTTGGTTAACTGATGCAAAGAAAGCTTTACAATTAATTTTCTTATAGTCTATCTCATTTGATAGCTTGCTAGTTTACTATTATGGTGTTCATTTAGTTTTTATGCTTTCTTCTCCAGTCACATTGGTTCTTTTGTCCCTAAGTCATTCATGTCAACTCCACAGACTTGTAATCTTGCCTATGTTTTGAAAAATGATTGTATTTTACAATCAATTTTTTTTCTAAAAAATAAAACACCCTTAAAATTAACTCAAAACTCTACCATCATTTAATTCCAGACATAGATATCTATTCTCATTTACATATCTATAAATTTGTGAAGATTAGGTGTTTATACTTTATACTCTTGGGAATTTAGTGTAAATACATCTAGATGCCCATATCTGTAGGTTGTATATCTGTGGTGGATTCAACCAAATGGGGATCAAATATATTGTTGTTGATGGACATTTTATATACACTTGTGTATATGTGTGTGTATGTGTGTATGTCTTGTTCAATATCATAGCAACTAACTAAAATGACTTTAAAAACAATTTAAATGAAATTAATAATTCATTTCAGCAGTAACACTTAACCAGTAACATTTCAACAGTAATCAGTTTTAAATACTCAATGCTCCATATGAGTAATGGCTACTATACTAAATGGTACAGGTGTTTGACATCTCCACAGTCACAGAAACTTCTCTCTGATGCTGTAGCTGTAGACAATAGCAGAATGAATGTTTTATGAATTTGAAGGTACTTCTGTATGTTTAAATTTTTATTACCTTAGAAATGTTTATGAAAATCCATCAACTTTTATCAAATCATTGTCCAAAATCCAAACAAAATTGTATCAAGATGTCACATAATTTTTTTCTGGGGAAATAAAGAAATGTCTATTCACCCCCTAGTAGAGAAAAAACTGAAATATCAAAGGGAAAAGGGGATTCTGTCCAAGTCCAGCTTGGTGATCCAGTGAATTTATTTTGTTTATTATATAAAGGAATATGGGGGGGAGGGGATCAAAGACAGCTACATAACCACTCCTGTCTGGTCAACTCATGAGCCACTGCACTATTGAAGATTCCCTCCCTTAGTTAGTTAATTGTTTGCCTTATATAATCCAGGGGAAGAAAGAAGTCTCATGAGACTATCGAAGGCATGTGAGCCACTGCTTATTACCTGAAGGCACAGTCTCATAGGGGTCTCCCACTGGTCATTAGGCAACTCCGAGTCTAGACAGCAATATTTGCAACCCAGATACAACAACAGGGCTACACAGATAGACTGTTAGATAGAACGAGTGAAAAAGATCATTTTTATTTAAGTAGTAATGAAACTTCTTAATAGTAGAAATAGGGACTTGGGGAAATAACTGGGAACTGAGTCATTTTGTGTTATGATTAGCTGCCGTTAGAGCCTTGCAAGGAATTTCTGTTGCACTTTAGAACAAGGTTCAGGCTGCTTGGAGTATCTTGACTGTCACTTGTCACTGCTATTCATTCCATACCAGATCCAGCCACACTGACCTGGGCTTCGTTCATGGACACTCTCAAGTGCTCCTGTTCTCCTCAGAATACAGCACACACTAGGCAGCATGACCCCCACTGTGGGATCTGGGCTTCAGCTCTCGCCTTGAACTCATTTCCTCAGAGCTGTATCATGTAGAGCGTTGATTTAAAATAGCCTCTCCTTCTGTTCCCCTGTCTAATACCTTCCCTTGATTTATAATTCCATATTTTGTTATTATCTTGCTTGTTATCTATATCTTGCATCTGACAGGAGAGCTGATGAATGCTAAGACCGCACTTTTATTTCTCACCACTGACCCAGGAACTGATGTGATGACAGCTAGATATTTAATACAACTACCAGTGAAGTCAAGAAACAAAATCTCAGATGCCTGTGAAATTAACTACACAGGTGAGAAAAACAGATGTTTTTTTTTTAACTTTCAATTAAGTTTTTATTTTAATTTTAAAGAATTTTAACTAACACATTTCTGTAATTGCCTTCATGAATGGGTAGGGGGGCAGGAGAAGGGAGAGGGAGGAGAGGAGAGGGCATGTCTGAAAATATTAACAGGGATGTAAAAGCATGCACTCAACAGACCAGAAGGTTAATTTTCAAAATTACTGCATTAAGTTATCAAATGTATAATTTGTTCAAATTTCTGAGGTTGGAGAGATACTTACATATTATTAGAGAGAAAATTACAAAGGAGTCATTTTTGACATGAAATATGAGATTTGGTCAAGTTAGGAGCCATCATAACTTGTATTTAATTTTAACTTAAAATGCTAGCACAATACTGAGTTTGAAAGTGGTAGAATATTAAAATTGATACACCTGTCCTGTGAGTAATTTTTTTTAAACATCTCCAATGAAAAATTTTATTCTATTAATTTTGATTTGTTAGGAACTCCTTAATAATAAACTAAGAATTGGTATCACTTTAGTATTTTATTTTCTATGTATAGTACATGTCAAATGCCTGTAAAATTAAAAAACAAACATAAGAAAACATTTGAAATAACATTAAATTGTAAAATGTGAATGCTCATATTATTATACCTTTGATTCCCTAGACAACCAGACCTCAGTATTAGAATATAAAACATTGACATGTTAATTATTGCTGGCATGCATTGCATTCTAAGGCCTATGATGGCTCTACTAGTACATACTCATATCTTTTACTTCCATTACTTTTGAAGCAATCCAGTGTAAAAACTACCTAGGTCATATTGCAGTCAAATTGTAGAGAGAAAGATGCTACATCAGGTTTCACACAAACATCCGGCAATCTTCAGGAGACTTGAACATCTGTGCATCAGCTATTGAGAGAGTACAGGCCATGGACTAAAGTTGCTGAGTATTCTGAGGGACAGATGCATATGCTGACCCCTATGGAAAAACTGGTTTATCTACAGCCAGACAATTGTCTGTGGAAATGGGACAATTGTATGTGCACAGATTTAGAGAAGCATTCGAGTTCTGTAGGCTCATCATAATTATAAGTGGTTAATTCAGTTGATCAATATACACAGATCACCACTGGAGTGGCAAAGAATTCTGCTCTCTTTATCATTTTAACTCATAAAGTCAAGTTTTGACCTTAATCTAATGTAACTTTAGAAAGGGAATGGGCTTTCAAAGGTTCTCATGATTTGTTTATTTTGCTCTGTTGATAATTTCACATTTGCATCATAATTGGATCCTCTAAGTTCACTGACATTTCAGTTGGCTTTAGTAATCATTAAAGGTTTTTCTCTTTAGTCTAAATTTGGGTCAGGCTCACAGGGCTGCTCATGTGCAAACAAGCCCATTAGAAAGAAGCTAATCTCTACATTGTAGGGCTGTTATATATTGAGACAACTGAGTTGCATAATCATTGTCTCTGTGACATTGTTATCAAGAGGACACCTGAATATCAGGCCATTCACCTTGGGGAAAACATGGAAGTACGTTCTCGAACTGTTCCATGTGACCGAAACTGATTTTGTTGACATGTGATGGTAGAGTACTCTTACTTTACATTTCCTAATAAAAATTTCTAATACATGATAACTTTAAACAACTGATGCTCTGATTTCTATATGACATGGATGAAAACAACTAATATTGAAGTGGCTACATAGTCCAGGCAGGTAACTTGTTCTTTTGGTGATTTCTAATGTGTCTTGGTGCATGTATGACTCAGTGTTTAAAGCAGACAGAGAGAACTTCTTTCAACTGTAATGTCCTACTTCATACAAAAGAGGATCAACCTGTCAGAGGGGACATTGGGGCCTGAATGATTATCTTGACCCATATTTACTAGGTCACTAAATTTTCCACAAAATAAGATGGAAAAATTGGGCATTTCAATTGGGATAAAGATATCAGAACTATTCTCTTTAAAAAGAAATTAAATCTTAAAATCAAACAACAACAAAAGATACCAGTACCCACTGTTTAAACTGAGAAAAAAAAATGTGGTTTCTTTTCTTTTTTTAACTTTTGATATTAGATAGGATTTAATATTATATGATATCTTTAAATTATTTAGAGAAATTGTCACATGGGTAAACTTTTTAATATAGAGTTAGATAGGTAGTTATATAAATGGAAATGCCCTTGTTTCTATATTTCCTATGAATCATCACAACTCCACCTTTCCCTGGAGCTGAATGCGCTTTCAATAAAGATGAGACTGATGAATGATCAAACAGGTACTTGAAGCCTCATCAGTTAATCAACATCTGTCTGTATTTTGTAGCAAGTTCTTACTTAAAACATTCAAATGTATATTTTGACCCAATTCATTTAACATCTCATAAAATTATAGAAGAAGTCAATTTTAGCTAACTAATGAAAACTAGTATTTCTTCTTGGGTGACAACATCTTTTTGCATTCACCTTTAATAATAGTTTTCCCAAGTGAAAATGCCCTAGATACCTGCTAGACATAAAATGTAATTTAAGACCAGATGCTGCAGCTAATGTCTACAAAATAAAATTCAGACTGAAATGGAGTTACCTCTAAATTACCATGTAAGCAAACTGTACATCAGTTAAATAAAGCAAGCACTGACCACATCAGGATTATAGATGAATCCACCAAGCTTTCACCTAGGCACCAAACCATGTGATTTAGCAGCAGAAACATGACATGCTGGAATTGGCTACACAAGACATACACGGTAACAAATAATATTTTCAATTTTCATTATTCTTTCAGAACACTAAATGACAAAGTGCACTCTCGGGAACTGTTATTAGATGATAATAGAACTGTTTAATTAGTCTGTCTCCAGAGGTGGACCACTTCACACGTCTTCCTAGGATTTCCTCCTAGTGCTTGCATGGAGAGGCTTTCTTCCCTCTGAGATTGTATTAAGGACAAATCCTGAGTCGCAACCCAATAATCAAATGAGCAGAGAGAGGCCCAGGATCTTAAGCCTGCTCTGCTCTTCATATTCCTCAGAGTATTATCAAGAAACAAATGGAGCTCCCAAAAGCTTTTGGTTCCTAAAATCATCTCTTTTAGTTTCGAACCATATTCTCACCTAGGGGGACACACAGTTTTGGAACTGCAATGAAGGGGCTAGAAAGTGCTAGCGATGGCCTGCTAAGCAGACGGTTTATGCATATTTAATGAGACAGATGCCAAATCTATCAGGGACTATGTAAGAAAACTGTCAGTACAACATAAGTTACCAGAAAAAAGTCAAACACCCCTTCATGATAAAACTCCTGGAGAGATCAGGGATACAAGGGACATACCTGAGCGTAATGGAAGCAATATACAGCAAGCCAAATGCCAATATCAAACTCAATGAGGAGAAACTCAGAGCAATTCCACTAAAATCAGGAACAAAACAAGGCTGTCCACTCTCTCCATACTTATCCAATATAGTACTTGCAGTTCTAGCTAGAGCAGTAAGAAAACTAAATGAAATCAAGGGGATACAAATTGGAAGAAGTTAAAGTATCATTTTTTGCAGATAATGCGATAATATATATAAGTGACCCTAAAACTCTACCAGGGAATTTCTACTGCTGATAAATACCTTTAGTTGAGAGCCTAGATACAAGATTAACTCCAAAAAAAATCAGTAGTCCTCCTATATACAAAGGGTAAATGGGCTGAGATAGAAATCAAAGAATCAACACCCTTTACAATAGCCTCAAATAATATAAAATATTTTGTTGTAACTCTAACCAAGCAAATAAAAGAACTGTGTGACAAGAATTGAAATTTTTGATGAAAGAAACTGAAGAAGATATTTGAAAATGGAAAGATCTCCCATGCTCATGGATCAGTAGAATTAACATAGTAAAAATGGCCATCTTACCAAAAACAATCTACAGATTCAATGCAATCCCCATTAAAATCCCAACACAATTCTTTACAGACTTTGAAAGAACAATACTCAGATCATATGAAAAGTCAAAAAATCCAGGAAACTAAAACAATCCTGTACAGTTAAAAAACAAAACAAAACAAAAACTTCCAGAGGTATCACCATCCCTGATTCCAAGCTCAACTACAGAACTATAGTAATAAATATATTACTATACTGCAGGGTATTGCCATAAAAACAGACAGGTAGATCATTGGAATCGAATCAAAGATACAGATGTAAATCCACACACCTATGGACACCTGATTTTCAACAAAGAAACGAAAATTATACAATGGAAAACATAAAGCGTCATCAATAAATGTTACTGGCATAACTAGATGTCAGCAAGTGGAAGAATGCAAATGGATCCATATTTATCATCCTGCACAAAACTCTAATCCGAGTGGATCAAAGAACTCAACATAAATCTGGATACACTGAATCTGATAGAAGAGAAAGTGGGAAATAATCTCAAATGCATAGGCACAGGAGACAACTTCCTGAATGGAATACTGATAGCACATGCAATAAGATCAACAATTAATAAATGGGACCTCATGAAATTAAAATTTTCTGTAGGACAAAGAATGCATTACAAAATAGGACAAAAACGTCAGTAGGACAAAACAGCAGCCCACAGAATGGAGAAAGAGTTTCACCAACCTCACATCTGACAGAGGGCTAATTTCCAAAATGTATAAGAACTTAAGAAACTGGATATCAACAAACCAAATAATCCAATTAAAAAATGGGGTGCAGATCTAAACAGAGAATTCTCAACAGAATAATCTCATATGAATGAGAAACACCTAATAGATGTTCAACATCTTTAGCCATCAGGAAAATGCAAATCAAAATGACTCTGAGATTCCATCTAACACCTGTCAGAATGGCTAAGATGCATATACCTCTCCTTGGTTTAACAGTATAGTACATTATGCCTCCTGGAGCCTACTCCTCATACTAGGTTGCCTTGCCCAGCCTTAATACATGGGGAGGTGCTTACTCTTACTACAATTTGATATGCCATGT